CACAGTCAAGCTCTTCGCCCCGGTGCTCGGCGCAAAGCTCCATCATTGGACCCACTGCAGGAGCCTGTGATGTTCAGCTGCCTGCAAATCGGAAGCGAAACCGCAAGCAAAGTCCAGGACCACACAATCAACTCACCATGCTCTTCAGGGCAGATCAGCGTGCCTTTCACCACAGGCTCGGCTATTTCCGTGTAGGAACCACCTTTGCTCGTGTCTTCGGGAAACTCCGTGGGATTGTTGAGGTGTGTCTGCTTCCCGTCTTTGGTCGTGAGTCTGAAAGGCACGGTTGGAGCGGTGACCAAGATCGTTTGACCGTATTCGTCTTCAAGTCTCTGGCGGAACACGTCGAGATGTAGGGTGCCAAGGAAGCCCAGGCGGCAGCCCTGGCCTAGAGCCATGCTCGACTCTCTGGCCACTGTGACACTTCGATCATTGAGCGCCAAGCGAGTGATGGCGTCCTCCAACTTTGGAAAGTCTACAAGTGCGTCAACGTTGAGGGTCAGCAACAGGCGTGTCGACGGCAAGATTGACGGCTCACGCATACCCACCCGTCGTGTCCAGTGGAAAGGCAGCTGCAAAAACCATGGGCACAGTCGGCTTGAAGCCCTCCAAAGGCTCGACTCGAGCATTCGCGTGATGGAGAGTATCCCCAATCATGGCCTCCTCCAACACTTTCATATTCATCATCACCCATCCGACCTGTCCCGTCCGCAGCTCGTTCGTGGAGTTTGCGGTCGGGCTGTTGACACCAGCGTTCAAAATCTCGTAACGCTTTCCGGTGGCAGACGAGCAGACACGGTCTCCTGATGGACAGGGTCAATAGCGTAAGCTAGGTCCATGCGGTCGCTAGCTTGAGAGGGGCGACGCGCTCCTCACCCTTCCTCAGAACACCGTCATAGATGGCCACCAGCGCCACAACGCCCTTGTACGAGTCGTACCACGAGTCGAACACAAGAGCTCTCAAAGGCTGGCGTTCAGCAAGCTCTTCGTCGCGCCTTCTCGCTTGCAGCACTAGTCTCTCTAGCACTTTGTCTACGCCTGCTCCCGTCTTTGCGCTGACGTTGATGGCCTCCTCTTTGCCTCCTGGCCCTACGTCCAGCCCCAACTCCGTGAGTTGGTCTAATACTCGTTCCGGGTCTGAAGCGGGCAGGTCGATCTTGTTGAGGACCGGAATGATGAGGAGATTGCGCGATCGCGCGATGCGGAGCACAGACAGCGTTTGAGACTGAATGCCCTCTGTCGATGATCAGAGAAGAAAATGCCAGTGGTGCTTAATGCGCATTTCGAGATGACCATGTGACAAGAGGGCCCGCTTTCCGCGGCGCATCGCCACACGATGCCTTGCGCTAACTCACGAGAAGCATCGACGACCAAAAGTGCCACCTGACAAGCTGACAGGCTCCTGCTGACTTCATAAGCGAACTGAAGAGTGCGACGAAGTAAGCATGCAGACTGCTTGAGGGTGCGCAGGACAAGTAGGCAGGACGTGTAAGGGCGAACGAGACTCACATCGACGTGGCCGGGCGTATCTATCAGATTCAGCAAGCACCCATTCCAGACCATGCTGACCGCCTGACTCTTGACCGTGATGCCCCTCTCCCTCTCAACCTTGAGCGTGTCCAAGAATTGCTTGTTGCCTGGACCGGCAGGTATGCAGCCCGTGAGCTCCAAAAGTCTATCCGCCAGTGTGCTCTTTCCGTGATCTATATGCGCGATGATGCTGAACGAAGTGACGGGTAGAGCCGAGAACGTGGATGCTGGAGGCGGCATGGGAGGCTGCTGACTTGCAGAAGCGATGCTTTGGTCGGTATCGCTGGCGTACCATCGCGAGGGTGCAGGGGTGGGCTGGCGCAACGAGACAGATGCTCCTGTCGGTGTTCCTCGAACAGGTGGCAGCATAAGACGCCTTCTTGTGCTAATGTGAGCCTCTCTATGCCATTCCGCCGGCATTTTTGCACATTTGACTTTGCTGCAAGTCTCTAGTCCTCTCGGTCCGAAGGCAGAGTGCAGCGTCGAGGCACCACCTCGTGCAGCTCGTCCCACAACCATCCCTGCGACTGGCTGGAAGGGAGCGTTTGCAGGAGCAGCAGCAAATATTGAGCCTGAGTTGGATCACAACATCTGTGTGGCCAAGAAAGCAATTCAGAATTGAGTGTATTCTTGAATCCGAGTGTGGGA